CCTTCTCCAGGGGATCTTCCCCACCCAGGGATCAAAACCAGGTCTCCCACAGTGCAGGTGGATTCTTTACCACCTGAGCCACAAGGGAAGCACCAGATGGTAAGGTATCTTCCTGCTTTGCAGAGGCCCCCGGATTCGATCCCTGGGTGGGGAAGATCCCCTGGAGAAGGAAATGACAGCCCCCTCCAGTATTCCTGCCTGGAGAATCCCATGGACAGAGGAGCCTGACGGGCTACAGTCTATGGTTCTTTAAGAATAGTACACGACTGAGTGACTAACACTCACTCAAACATGTACGTGTAGTTTTCAAGGAGACTTCAGTTTTCATTTCTCTTGGGAAAATGTCATTATTTGGAATTGCTAGGTCATACAAAAATGTATGTTTAACTATGTGATAAATTACCACACAATTTTCCACAAAATGAAAAAATTGCATTCACAGGATTAGTATATTAGCAGGAGTATAGGTGGCCCATACCCTCACCATCATTTTGTTATTGCCAGCATTTCTTAATTAAACATTCTACTATGTGTGTATTGGAATAGCACTGTGACTTTCACTTGCATCTACTCAATTTTTATGAGCGTCTTCCATATGGTTTTTGCTATCACTAAACCCTCTTTGATGTTAGATAGTTTATTTATTCTTTTTTGTTTGGGCTGTTTGTTCTCTTATTGTTGGATTTTGTTGTTCTTTATTTTGCATACAATTACTTTGTGATAAAGGGGATCTGAAAACCTCAATGTATTATTTTTCTATTTTTACCTTTCACGTAGCAAAGACATATATATTTGTGTGTATATATATATTTTAGATAAAAGCTACACACACACACATGCACACACATATATAAAGTAAAAATACACAAAGTCTAGACTACCTGGTCTAAATTTCTTGTTACTAAACTTCATGAATAAAGACCCAGAAAAAAGATGATCATCTTTTTTTGTTTCTGAATTAGTGGAAAGGAGTTGTTGTTTTTTTTAAAGAGAGCTATTAGACTAGAAATCCACAAACTGCAAGGATGCAACTGATGCTTATACAGCCATAAATATTACATATATGATAAGCTGACTTACAAACAGAGGAAGTAATATTTTGTTAATATCATAAATATGTTTATCTCTTCATAGGAAAAACTGATGTAAGTTAAAAGATACATGACTTCATGGGTAACTGTTTTAACAGGGATGAGAACTAAATAACACCTGAACTATATCCCTACTTCTACAAAGGACATGATGGGTCTCTGCCATCCTATAACATCTAGTTCCACTGCCACAGAGAGAAAGCTCAGCTCTGCATCCAAAATTTAATAGCAGTGGGCTTTCCTCAGATTCTCAGAGAACTTGAAGGATGTCTCAGTACTGTGAATACAAATCAAAATAACCTACATTTGGAAATTTTGAAACACAGCATCTGGGTATTTGAAAATGCATTTTTCTAAAAAATCCAGTAGATGGCACAAATACCCCTCTTTTTCATGTGTTGACTATCATTAGTAATCCTGAGAAGGATGGCATAGCTCTTGAGACAGAAGGAGGAGGTGGGGAAATGTTCTCAGATCCTGAGGAAAAGATGGTCTTGATTTGAAAAAAGGCCTTAGCTTTTGTGAAAAGAAATGATTGTCCTGATCTACTTGTAATTAGTGACTTTAGAGATTTTATAGGAATGGAATTAAGAGTTACTGGTGTTGCTCTGGCACATATCTTAAAATTAACTATTTTAAAATGCATGCATTAAAAAAACAGAATTATGAATGTAATATAGTCCCATGAAATTTATGGAAATTGCTGAAGAGTTGCCAGTAACCACTGCTTGAGGATAGAATCCCTGTTTAACCCAAGGGGACTGTCCAGACTCACGGCCATTTCTTATATAAGAAACTGTAAACCAGATCACATCATTTTAGCTGTCCTCATCTACGAATGTTTTCCTTAGTCATGTAGCTTCAGTCACCACGCATCATTTAAATATTCTTTAATATTCCTCTAATTCTGACTCTTTTTCATATTATGCGGTCTGTCTATCCCAAGAAATGTTTCTACTCAATATATAATGGAGTAATGGCCCCCATGAGCAACACTGCTCTCCGGTGCTCATAAAAATGTACAAACACGCATTCACACATGAGCGCATCACTCTGTCTCAGGTAGAGTGTTTCAGACCACAGAGTTTAGGACAAGAGTTAGACGGCTGCTTCTTCTGCTGGACAGCCAAAACTTGAAAGGCTCTTCTCAGATTGATCCAGGGCTGAATGATGGCATCAGCTGACTGGTGTTTCCTCTCCGTCCACTGCTCCATCCAGTCTGTAAACAACCTCTCTAGTGGTCATAGGTGAATGGAGCATCTCCAGACATGGAAAGAACATATATATTTTTTTTCTTTCAAAAAACATTTTTTATTGCTTCTTCAGTCATGGCCTCATACCTCAGTCAAGTGTCTGAGTATACACCCACGCATTTCATTTTCCAGTAATGAAAATTTTCTGAGAAAGAGAAATTCAGGAGATTCGTATCTCCTTCTTTAAAGCTAAGTATGGTGTGTCGGAATGCCTAAATTGTCAGGTTTTGCTTAAACTAAGGTGTACCCCTGCTGCCGGGTTGGGCTCCCGTGCCGTGACCTCCTAGCATGTAAACACAAGCAGGACATGGAAGGAGAGAAGCCAGGTGGCCCGTAGGCATCCACAGATAGCAATTGCTTTTATATTCAGACCTGCAGTCACAAAGTGCCACATTAATGAGTCCTCCTCTGCCCACCCATATGTATCCCCTTCCCAGTTCCATCACTCACCATTACGTTCTCGCCCTTCATCCTGACTTAAGAACTTATTTTCTTTTGAAACCTATTTTTTCTCTATCTTTACCATAGTATATACTATAGTATGCATGCTCAGTCATACGCCAGACTCCTCTGTCCATGGGATTCTCCAGGCAAGAATACTGAAGTGGGTTGCCATTCCTTTCTCCAGTGGATCTTCCCAACCCAGGGATCAAACCCTTCTCTCTTGCATCTTCTGCATTGGCAGGTAGGTTCTTTACTATGAGCACCACCCAGGAAGCCTATCCTCACCCTTCCCCCACTATAAAATTAGCCCCTTTAAAGCAGAAATGCTGTTCTGTCTATCACCATTCCTCTGATTTCTGGAACACTTTCTCATATACTGTAGATTGAATTATTTGAGAAATAATGGATGGATGCAAATATTAATAGGAACCTCTTGATCTTTACTAGCTCCATTTTTAACAGTATAGAGGAGGTTAATTAGGAAGTATCTTTTTCTCTTGGGACATGTTTCTGGCATGAGATGAAAATAATTATGGAATTAAATAATCACTAAAGAATATCTGAACTGGAAGGAGGAACTGAGAGGGCGATTGGCTATAGAATGAATATCCATCAGGAGGACAGAGTTGGCTGAACCACAGCTCATTAAACAGGACAATTGGACACTTAACTGTGGAAGAAGTACACTTGGAAATGATGCAGTTTTGCGTTTTAGTTGAAAAAGCACTTTTCTGTGTAGTTTATTCCGACTTTGTTACTTAGTATCTGTGTTATGTAGGGCAAATTACAGATTTTCTGAAAACCTTAGTAGCATCATCTCTAAACTATGATCGCAGGATTCGCAGGATCTGTTGGAAAGCACCCAAGCGTTGAGGTCAAAGATCTGAGTTGGAATAAGAAAGCTTTTTTCCTTCTTAAACCACACAAAAGTTTCTCGACTTCTCTGAATCTTGGCTTCTTTAAGAGGTAAGTAGATATTTGGAATATCACATAATTCATTTGGCTCTGTTCCAGCCAACTGTAAACCTTTGCCTCTTGTGTATTAAATTTTCTCAAATCATAAAGTTGGCAACTAAATTCATTATGCACATGCACAGACATCAGCAGTGTGCCAGTGGATAGATTTAAAAAAAAAAAAAACAAGAAAACCCTGCAATTTCTCTAGCCCATGGCTTTCTCATTCCAGTCTGACTGCTAAGATAGTCAGGAGTCCATTTATTAGTGAGGGAAAATCATAAATATTTGTAGAATTAATGAAATAGAAATTGGTGAATAAACCTAGAAAATAAAATTTAAATTTATTAAATTAAATTTATTATTTTTATTTAAATTTAATTCAAGTCTAGTTCTGTACATAAATTTCAATAGTGAACTAAAGTGGAATTTTCAGTTCTTGTTTGGTCATCTTTGATCAATGTTTGAGGTTGGACTATGTTCTAGAAACTTATTTTTGACCAGTGCCATTTTTCTTACACATATAGGCAAAAACAGTGATTACACTAATGATGAAGTTAGTTAAGCGAAAGACTAGTGAAAACAATTTTTTAAGTAGTCTGTTGTCTGTTTGCTGAGAAATGTAACTAAGTGTTTTCCATCAGACTCATCATAACCTTAATAAGAAAATTAAAAATGTTTTCTTGGTTTAGTGATAGTGATCTTAGTTAAACAATGGACACAATGTACAGAGATGACAGAAAAGTATTTGAAATGTTTTTTCATAATACCCTGGTTAAGGTTATGAAACATGAGCTATTTTTAAAGAAAATTAGGTAGATTGATGACTGATAGTTTAACGTCTTCCTGTTTGATCAATGAAAAGATTAAAGTAACTTGGTCTTATCAAAGGCTTTGTGTCAAATAAGAGCTTTGACATTTGTTTCATTAATATTTTCATAAAAGACTTTTAAAAATGTTTCTCATATTGAGTTATGGTAGAATTGTTTTTAGGTATAAGATTGAACAGAACTTCAGGATCTGAAGAAATGGAATAAATTCAATGACTAAAGGTAAAATTCAGGCACTGTTGATTCTAAAATAAATTGCTTACATGTAAGAACAGAGATGATAGGAGGTGGCCTAGTAGCAGCACATGATGAACCGCCTTCTGCACTTCCTGTTTAATTCCCCTCCAAGTCCTGATGTGGCTAGGGAAAAAAAAAAAAGTCGTTCTCTACCTATTAAGAATAAAATCTAGGAGGTAATGGTTGAGTGTTCAGATCAAGGAAAGCATTCATGAAAATTTTTTTAAAGTAACAAAGATGAACTAGATCATTTGACAGCCAGGTTATTTTGTGGGACACAGTATTTCCTCCACAGGTGTTTGCAGTTATACTTTCAAAGATGGCCTCACAAATATGTATCTCATCCTACTGCCTCTTCTTAGGATGGGCCACAGTCCCTCCTCCATCAAATTGTAAAATCTGTTGCTTCCTGTTGAAACAAGGTAAATCTTTGTAAGTGCCTTATTTGATCCTGTGGGGTGAAATGATGCTTTATGACTTCAGAGACTAGATCATAAAGAGCAATATGTCTCCTATGTCTCTGTCTCTTTCATCTCTCTGTCTCTCTGCCTGTTGTTGCTCAGCCACTAAGTCATGTTCGACTCATTGTGACCCCATGGACTAAGGCACTCCAGGCTTCCCTGTCCTTCTCTATCTCCTGGAGTTTCTCAGACTCAAGTCCATTGAGTCGATGATGCCGTCCAACCATCTCATATTCTGTTGGCCTTTCTCCACCTGCCCTCAATTTTTCCCAGCATCAGGATCTTTCCCAATGAATAGGCTCTTTGCATCAGGGGGCCAAATGGAGCTTCAGCTTCAACATCAGTCTTTCCAATGAATATTTAGGGTTAATTTCCTTTAGGATTGACTGGTTTGAACTCCTGACTGTCCAAGGGACTCTCAAGAGTCGTCTTCTACACTGCAATTCAAAAGTATCAGTTCTTCAGCCCTCTTCCTGATGTAGAGCCCAAATATGAAGGCAGCAAGACCACTGTCTGCAAGCCAGAAAGAGAGCCCTTACTGAGAACCATATAGTTTGGCACCTAGATCTTGGAATTCCCAGCCTTCAGAACAATGATAACTAAATGTCTATTATTTAAGTTACCTAGGCTATGACATTTTTTATAGAAACCTAGGCAGATTAAAGTTATCTGAAGCTCTATCACATGTGAAATATCCTAATTTAATTGTTATAACAATGCTGTCATATAAAAGACATTACAATCTTTTCACATAGGAAGAAAGTAAAATTCATAAAGATTAATCCATTGACTGTGTAGCTTCCAAATGGTATAGATAAAATATAAATCTAGGTCAAAACCCCCAAATCATTTTTTTTCCCCTAAATGAGTTACCTGTAGACACTTTAAAACACTTCTTTAGGATATACATGTGTGGTTTTCCTCTGCTGGCTCACAGGCAAAAAGCTTCAAGAACCCATTACTTCTACCCTAAGAACTGAAACAATCCAGAGAAGTGACAAATTATAGTTTTTTAAACTTAACAGAGATCAGAGAACATAAAGAAATTGAAATGAAGCAAACTCCAGAAAAGAAGGAGGCACTTACCACCACTGCTTTCATCCCAGGCAGGACTGCAGAAAAAGAGGACTCTTTCTTGGGTAGAGACCAGGAAAAAATTAGATAAATTTCTACATGACAATGGATAGCTAGTGCGCTAGGTCAGAATCCCAAGGCAGCAAGCTACAAAGGGAGAGTGTCCACCCACCAACTCTTTCCTATGGGTTTTCCCCTTGGTCTGGAGGGAAGGAACTCAAGCTTGGACCTGGGAAGAATGGCTGAGATAGAGTCACCTTGAGTAGGGCAGGAGGAGGCCATATGTAAGGCCACCACTTCCAGAAAATGTGGGTGGAGGCAGGGTACAATGTAAAAAAGAAGCAAAGGGAAGATGGCAGCCTCCAGAATAAGCCAGGGAGAAGACATGGAGCAGGGAATAAAAAATAAATTTAAAGAAAGAAAGAGAGACAAGTCCCATGAGAGAGGAATCATGATGTAGAGGATTTTAATCAATAGGAGAAAAAACATTCAGAGAGTTTATGAAGCAGTGTTCATGTAGGTGAAGGGGACATTCACAGATTATAAGAACTGAGAGTAGATTTATACAGTTTACATGAGATGTGACTGCAGGAGGGAAGTATATTAACTGAATACACCTTGACTGGTTACTGTATTATCTTGGCTGGAAGCCTAGACAGCTCCCATAGTACTATGACATGAACTTGCCAATGTAACTCCACTTCTCTACCTCGGGGTTTTCATCTGTAAGGTGGAGGCAATGCAATAGCCTGGACTATGGGCTCATTGTGACATTTCATGATTCAATTCACAGAAAACTCTCAGAACAGTGCCTGGGACACAGTGAACTAGGCATTTACTGAGATTGGTAGAGGGAAGACATCAAGGTACTTACATTGCCTCACCTATATAACTCTTTCTACAACATCCAGGCATTGTTCTTCACATACACTCTCCTGTCTCTGACCACCAGGCTTTCACATATGACTGGGGAGGTGCTAACCTCCAGATGGTCTTTCTAACCCTGCTCTTTTCTGGCTAGTAGGGCCAGTTTCATGAGTCACAGAGGACCACATAATTGGTTTCATGCTCTGCTGTTGCTTTCTTCAAATCCACAATGATTTGTGACTAAGGGGGATCCACAATTTTCATTTTAACCTGGGCCTCACAAATTATATAACTGCTCTGTTGGCTAGCTGCATCACAAGTCTCAGCTTAGAAGTCACACCTCGTAGGTAGACTTTGGTTGTTGTTGCTGCTGATCCGTCACCCAGGTGTGTCTGACTCTTCGCCACTCCATGAGTTGCAGAACACCAGGCCTCCCTGCCCCTCATCATCTCCTGGAGTTTGCCCAGATTCATGCCCATTGCATCCTGGAACCTGGTAAATTGTCACCACTCTATCTCCTGCTGAAAACTGGAAGTGTTAGTCCCTCGGTCATGTCTGACTCTTTGCAACCCCATGGACTGTGAGCCTCCCAGCCCCTGTGTCCATGGGATTCTCCAGGCAAGAGTACTGGAGTGAGTCACCATCGCCTCCTCCAGGGGAGCTTCCCCGCCCAGGGAGAGGACCCAGGTTTCCTGAGCCACAGCAGATCCTTTACACGCTGAGCCACCTTAGTACTTTTTATTTCTCCCACTATGTAATTATGAAACTCTAAACTGCTTATCTCTGTGAGGTATTGAAAGCTGTAGAAAGTCTGGACCATTGTCAGTCTTGTTCAGTATTTTGTTTGCTCCAGCATTTTCCACAGGCCATGGCATATATATTCAATAGCCATGTGCTGAGTGAATGAATAGCATGTTTGCCATGAATAGGGAAACATCTGAAAACCACTGCCCCCTGACCCTATACTACATGAACATCATACAAATTCCCCTGTCAAGCCAAATCCATGACAGATAGTAAAAGGGAAGACAAGGGATACAATGCCCACTGAGAAAAAATGGATTTCTCCCAAACTTAATTCAGTGACTTGCAGCAAGTTGCCAACTGTAAAAGGAAAGAGTGGGTTATTTGGACATTTGATTCAAAAGTTGTGATATTTACTGAAAGAGACTAAAAGTGCTACCAGGTAGGTATGAATTTCTCGTAATTACTGACACTCCTCAAAAATGAATAGAGATGAATGGAGAGAAAGGCAAACATTGCAAGCAGGTCCACCAGGAATACTCCTCCCAAGAGTGTTCAAAGAGATCTGCTGAACAGGTAGAGGCCCAGGCGCTGTTTCTCTTTGGTGGTTTAGGAGGATGTGTATAGTTATTGCAGTTTTCCTCTAGGTTGAAGAATGTACTGTGAGCAATTTCTGTTCAAAAGATTATTTTTGTTATTTGTCATTGTGTTGTAGCCAGGAAGTTAGAGCCTCTCTAAGATGAGGAGATTTTATGATCACTCCTTTATACTCTGTGAATTATAAAATAGAATGTTTATAGAGTGTTTTGATAAAGTAACTCATAAAGCATTATTTAATAGTGAAATAATGAGCCCTGAGTCAACAGCACACCTGGGCTCTCATCCAATTTCTGCTAACTCTCTAGGTTACACTTGGCAATTCATATAACCTTCCTACACTTCAGTGTCTCCAAACTGAAAAACCTAGAAATCATTCTAGGTTCCCTTTCAACTCTACAATTTCTAGGGGGTTGGAGTTGGAGAAGAACTCCTTTGGAGGTTTAGGTAGTCACAGTTAGCTTAAAGAGAGATGTTGTTTATGAGGAAGAGACAGAAAAGAAATAAAGTCCAATGAACAGAATCTGCACATCTTGGAAACCATACAAATTGCACAAAGTTCTTTTCCCAAGACAGTAGGTTTGTGTAGAGGTGCAATTCTTAGTAAGCACAAGGTCTAGAGAGGAAAGCATAATTGGACGAATAGAGTCTAGTAAAAAAAAAAAAAGAACCTCCACTCCACAAAACAACCTAAAAATCCCAAATAGTAGGAGGAAGCAAAAGCTGCTCTCAGATGAGGGTGGGAGTGCACGGCATGAATGTGGACCAACAGGAAAAATTGCACAAAGTTCTTTTCCCAAGACAGTAGGTTTGTGTAGAGGTGCAATTCTTAGTAAGCACAAGGTCTAGAGAGGAAAGCATAATTGGACGAATAGAGTAAAAAAAAAAAAAAAAAAAAACCTCCACTCTACAAAACAACCTAAAAATCCCAAATAGTAGGAGGAAGCAAAAGCTGCTCTCAGATGAGGGTGGGAGTGCACGGCATGAATGTGGACCAACAGGAAAGTTTACAAGGAGACAGCTCTGATTTTCTGTGTATCTCAAGGTTTGACTAGTATGTTTTGTCACATTCTTAGCAATTCTTTTGTCCAGAAAACACCTTCAATGTTTTTTTGTAAAGCTGCCATTTGGAAAATGTGCCTAGAGAGAGCAACTCCACCTCTTTTTGCCATCTCCCTGCCCCTCTGCTTTTGAGAGGAGGGTTTAACCAAACCATCTGAGGAGCATGGTGAGAAGATTAAGGTGGTTTTTCATGAATAATGGGGAGGTTTTCTGCAGCTCATGCACAAGACACCATGAGGATTTAGATATGACTCAAGAAGAGAGAAGTTAATAGATATGTTTGATTCCCCTCATTGAGTTGGGGTGAAGGAAGAGGGATATTACCTATTTTTCAAAGTTATTATTCTCATAAAGCAGAGGACTAGAGATATAGATAGAGTTTCCTTTTTTCTGGAAAGGATTAAAGGGAACATGTGGCTAATGGTTTGTAGGTTTCAGGGAACAGGGTTTTATATTCCAGACTTGATATGTAACATCAGAGATAGAATCTTTTGGAAAAGTGCAGGGAGCTTCCCATAAAGACTGGTATAGAACTGTTTAAAAGATTTGTTGGTCTGATCAAAAGGGTTTACACCCCAGACTTGGGGGCTAAACAGAAATGCACGATGTTAGAACTGGAAAATCAGGATACTCTGTGAAATAGTAGCTCCCAGGCCTTCTGAAGACCAAGGTCAGATCTAGCCCAGAGCCCCTTCTACTCATTTTTATTGTCTACACCAAGTCACAGCCTGGTTCAGACTCAATAACCATTTGTAGGCTGGAAATGTAACATTTGTGGAAAAGTTGATATTGTATTAAAAGTCATTCTGATAGTAAGTGCTGTAGCACAAGTCTGCTGATTCCATATCTCATTTCACCCCAGCATGCTATCTTTGTTAGTTCACCAAAGCACTCAATAAGAAATTCTATGATATTATTGGAAATAAGATGAAAATGCAAGTGAGACAATTACACAGTTACATGTGAGCAATTTATGGGTGTTACAACTCAGAGATTTAAAAACAAATTTCAGTCTTGTTTTATTCAAATCTTTTATCAATGACTTTAGTGTTTTATTAGTCAAGTCAGTAAAAATCTCAGCAATATAAAGCTAAATTCTCAAATGTATTTTATATTCCAGTACATAAGCCATCTTTGAAATTGTTAGCTATGCTTTTGGAAAAAGATTTGGAAAAATAGAGGATTTAAATCAAACAGTAACACAATTCATCCAGTTTTAATATATTTTCTGTGATTATAAAAATGATTATTAAATACACTATAGAAGTTCTTCTTCATTTCTTTATTTCTATATAATTTCTCTCCTTTCCATTTCTATAAGTCTGACTGGGAACATAATCATAATGATTATATAATTTGTAATTACTCATTCAAGGGATTTTTTTCAGGTATAATTGAGGAGGTTTGCCCCCGCCCCCAAAGCTGACATTTTTCCAAATAGATCTTGTAATTGTTGAGTTGTTGAGAAACAGATATGGTGGCCTCAGATTCACTGCCTTCACTTTCTAACAACAAGTTTTATTTTTTCATGATTAGGCTTTATCAAGTAGGGTGAGTCTTACATGTAGAAAGAACCACAATTTGGTGTTCTTCTCTCCTTCCAGATAGGCAATGGAGTAAAGACCAGTAGAAAAATAGGAGGGCATAGTTAGAGGGGCATAGTTAGCATGACAGAAGACAGTAGCAGGTGATAGAGAGCACTCAGATGGTATTGCAGGACCAACTACATTCAATTTGCAACCATACAGAACCCTATGGGGTCTTCCCAGGACAGGTCCCCTATGTCTTCTCCTTCCTCTTATTTGCAGAAAA